TCTCTCTCTCTCTCTCTCTCTCTCTCTCTCTCTCACACACACACACACACACACATCAGAGAGACCAACATTTCTGGTTAACTATATTGTGAAATAATTTCAAAAATTGATTTCAATAGTTTGTAATAAAATATTGTATATTTTTGTAATATTGGACTAATAGAACATGACAATCAATAATAATTCATATAATTATAAATAAAAATCAGTTGATTTATGCACAGATTTTATTAAATACATTTTTCTCTGTCATGTTTTAAATAATATAGTTATTAAATTATATAAATATTAGCATTCATTGTATCACAGAATTTATCATTAAGAAAACAAACCTTAATGAACTAAAAATAATGATTTATTTATTATCATTCACAGACTGTAACGTTGATATCATAAGGTTTTTGTATGAGTTAAAAATATTTAAATGTTTTTAAAAATGGAAACATCACCAATGCAACAATTCATTATTATATTAAATATAATTTTATATATTTTATTAAAATATATTCTAAATTATAAAATTAATACCCTATGTATTCAGTTTGTAAAAACCCATGAAACTAGCTAACTTAATACAGTTGGTCACCCTATGATCACTCCCTCCCCTCAACTAACTACGCTATTCACTCCATAATACACACGTAGACTATAATCAGACAAAAGAGTGGCAAACAATGCGATACCGATAACATTGAGGAAGACGTGGCTATTCATCGTACGGCCCCACCGGAAGTCCACTCGACACCTATACTCCATGCCGTCCCCTTCCGTCACGGGATCGATGGTGAGTAGCGCCGGTCGGGCGGACACGTTGAACGTCGCCCGTCGGCCGTCGCTAAACACGTCGCCCACGAAATGCGTGCCGTTATTACTGGCGTCGCGCGCGTCGACCGTATATATCGGCGTTCGGCTACCGTTCCCTCTGTACCATAGGATGAGTGTTACGGAGTCGTCGACGGATACCGGGGTCACATTGCACGGTAACTCTGCCCGACCACCGCTTACTGTTTTGTAGTCCGGGTACACTTTGAGAGTGGGATGTGTGCAAGGTAGTTTTGGAAATAAAATTATTGTTATTATTAAGCATAATGTTAGATAATATCAACATGGTAATGTTAATTTCTAAATTAGTAGAATTATAATATGTGATGTTTTGCCTAGATTAAAATATTTTATAACACTTCAAGTCGATTAATTTATAAAGTTAATATATACAGTACAGTTTGATTATATTTACATAAAGTTTAAGTTTAATTATGATAGTATATAAATTACGATATTTAATTAATTTTTTATAGCATGATAATTATTAAAATTAATAATGCGATAACTTTTAATTTTTAATTTAGTTTTC